AATTGGAACAGAATAGGCAAGAGGTGCTTCCTCGATGCACCAGTGTTTCTCCAAACCTAAAATCCCACTGCCTCACACAGCCCTTTCAAGAGTTCACAGGGAACCAAAACCACAGGAGAAAGATGTGAGTTTCCTTATGCAACGTGAAAAGCCCTGCTGTGAGGTGGCATCAGCTGGACGGCAGTAAGGGGGTTAAGCACCCAGGACTTACACAATTTTGTTGCTGGACATCATTGAGTATGAGCTGCAGTTACCCTATGGACAATGGCTCTGAACCCTGTCCTACCCGTGTCATCCGCAACTTAAATAGTAAGGACCACAAAACAAACATCGGAATCCCTAAGATAAATGATGCAGACGTGAACTCTAAAGATGAATATTTTAATATGTCTTTTTTTTTTAATGTGTGTACTGTCAAATTGGATCTGACTGGTACAGGAGGTGATTATTCCTCCTTCTTCAGCAGAGCATCTGGTGGATTTGAACCGCGCACCTCTGGGATTGCAGTGCAGTTTCCTGCCACTAGGCCACCAGAGCTCGCCGAATATTTTAATATGTGAAACTTATAAGCAGGTCTACTTTAAAAAAAAATCATGATTCAAACGCCTGTATACGTGCAACACAAACATTTCTAACTATTCGGATTGCTAAATTTTTAAATTTAACTTAGCGCATATAAGCATTTCTACTGAAAAAACCAATACTATGGCTGATAGGTGACTGACTTTCTTCTGATAGGATACCTTATAAGCAAGATAAAGTGGTGATGTCACACAGAACAAGATGACAATAACCTATTCTTTTCCCACTGCCAAGAACAAATCATTATTAAACACCACCAGGGAAAACTTCAGCTCTTTCTATTAGAGAAATTCCAAACCTCTACTTGGTTTCCCATCTCCAGCTCTTTCCCACCTTGTTATAATATTGTGCTTTGTCTTCTCTAGCTACCCTTTGGTATCTCCTGTCCTACTCTCTTAAAGAACTGAACTTATAAAACCAAAAGGCAAGAACATGCTTGGTGTTTCTCAAGATGAAAGAATAGAAGAACAAATTCAAGCCTGGAGTTGAAACACTGAAAGAGTCCATGGGCAAAATCTTAAATGATATAAGAAAGTATAAAAAAAAAAAAGGTGGAAGAAATACACAGTCACTGTACTAAAAAGAACTGATAAACACTCAACCATTTCAGAATGCCACACATGATCAAAATTCAACAGTCATGAAGGAAGAAGTCCAAGCTTTTCTGAAGTTATCGGCAAAAGTAAAGCCCCAGCAGTCAGTGAATAACAACTGTACTGTTTCAGGAAACAGACACAAGTCTGGGCGCACACAGCTTCCTGGCGAGCGGACTGAAGAGATCTACATTTGTTCTCCTTCTCAAACAAGGCAATCTAAACATTATCACAAAAATATCATTGATATGACATGCAAGTAAAATCTGGCTGGAGATTATTTTGAAATGGCTTATTATTTTGGAATCATACATCAACAAGAAATTTCCAGAAATTCAAGCTGGACTCCTCGGAGGCCACGCAATGAGTTATCATTGCTGATACCACATGGATCTTGGCGGTGAGCAGAGGCTACCGGAAAGATGTCTATTTCTATTTTTATTTTTTTGCCTATACAAAGGCATTTGACTTGTGGATCCTAATAAATTATGAATAACATTGAGAAGAATGGGAACCCCAGAACACTTATTTGTGTTTACGTGGAACCTAGACCTAGACCAAAAAGCAGTTGTCTGAACAAAACAAAGTACTAAATGGTTAAAAATCAGAAAAGATGTATGTCAGAGCTGAATCTTTTCTCCAAACCTATTAAATCTGAATGCTGAAGAAATAATTCAAGAAGCTGCATTATATGAAGATGAATGTGGCATCAGGACAGGAGGAAGTCTAATCAACAATCTCGGTTATGCAGATGGCACGACCTTTCCTGCAAAAAGTAAAAAAGACTCGAAGTCCTTACAGATGTAGATCAGATTACAGCCTTCATTATGGATTCTATCTCAAAATTAAGAGGGGGAGGGAAATCCCCACCACCGGGCCAATAGCCTGCATCATGACAGGTGAAGCCTGAAGTTGTCAATTATTTCATTTAACCTGGAGCCACAATCAACACTCAAGGCAGCAGCAGCCAAGCAATCAAAAGACGCCTGGCCTGGGGAAACCTGCTGTCAAGGACCACTTTAAAGTGGTAAAGAGCAGGGATGTCAGTTTAAAAACCAAGGTGCACCCGATCTAAGCCATGGAATTTTCAATTACTTCCTAAGCATCTGAAAGTTGATCAGTGAATAAGAAAGACTAAAAAAAAAGTCAATGCCCTTGAACTGCCGTGTTAGAGAGAACTGAAATACACCACGGACTGCCAAACAACCAAGTCTGTCCTGGCAGAAGTATGACCAGGGTGCTCCCTAGAGGCCAGGATGGTGAAGTCCACCTCAGATACTTTGGGCTTGCTGAGGGGGGATCAGTTTGGAAAAAGGCATCATGGAAGGATAGGTAGAGGAATACGAGAGAGGAAGGCCTCAACAAGACGGTCTGACACAGAGACTCTAACAATGGACTTGAGCAGTATGCAGGGCAGGGTCAAGTTCAGACCTGTTGTTCAAAGGGTCACTATGGATTGCAGTCAATCCCACGGCACCTCTCTATCATGCTTGTGAAGGTGGAAGAACGCCAAAAGAGAGGAAGTCCCTGGCCAAGACAGACTGACACAGTATCTGCAGCAATAGATTCAAGTGTGTCAGAGATTGAGAGGCTGACACAGGAAAGGGCGGGGTTCAGAGCTGCTGTTCAGAGGATCTCTGTGAGTTGCACTTAAATCGATGGTACCTAACAACCACCACCATGGCATCTCAAACAACACCACTGAAAACCACATTCCAATCACATGACGAGGTTTTACTACATGATAGGAATGATGACGTTCTCACCCCTTGATTACAAAGTTACCATTAAAAGTGTTGATGAGGAAAAAAATTAAAAAAAAAAAAAAAGTGTTGATGAGGGACTTTTATCATGATGCTCCTAAAAAGTGGGAATGAGTGAAAACAACTTAGATCCTTTGACCTGTTTCCCCTCAGTGCTTATTTCAGTGCTGCACCCAATCCATTAAGAAGGGGATGGGGAAAAAAACAATGCAAAGTATGAGGCTTTTACTCCAGGGGCTGCTGAAGGTTCCGTAGTCCCGGGCCAACCATGCCAGGGGCTGCTGAAGGTTCCGTAGTCCCGGGCCAACCATGAGAGACATGGAAATGGCATGGCGGATGCAGACAGACAGAGCACCCTTCTTCAAGAACTACAACAGCTCTTGGCTGTGAAACCAAATGATCTTGAATCACGGAGACCCCAAGTATTACAGGTAAAACTGCTCCATAGGATTTCCCTGACTGTAAACTTTACACAAGTGTGTTGCTATGCCTTTTTTTTTATGCCACCGGGTGGGTTTGAACTTCCAGCTTTGGAGTTAGTAATGAGGGGTAAATGATTTGCATCACCCAGGGATTTTCCAAGGGCCACCGACCCAAGGAAAATACGGATGATAAGGGAGGAACATCTGAAATTCTAGCTTACTTGATCTGGAAACACAGCCACATGCATCACTGCTTGCAACCTTCCTAAATTGTCATTTGTCATTCAAAAATGTACCAAGTATACTAACAAATGGAGCTATAGGTTGAGCTATTTTGGTCAAACACTTTTCTAGGTCCTATAGCTTAGTGTGTTCACTTGCTGTACAGAGGTAACTCGTGGTCACTGGGACACTGATGTGTCGAATGCGATAATGGTCACCCATGGTGGACAGGGTTTGGTGGAGCTCCCCAATTAAAATAAGCTTGGAAGTAGCATCCACTTCCGAAATAACTTACCTCCAGAAACCCTATGAACCTGGAGAAAGGATGAAAGTCACGCAGGTCTTTTGTTCACTGGTAGCTACGAGTTGCCTACGACTCAACGGCACTTAACAACAACAACTTCTAACTAAGTAACTTCTGGTTATTTTTCACAAAGTAAGTCTTTTTCTCATCTTACCAATTTAAAGGCAGGGGGCAGGCCTAACACCAAGAAAACCCTAAGAGAATATGTGGAACACCCACTTTATAAGCTCCAAAACATCTTGCTCATGCAAATGTCATTTTCAAAATGAGAGTCAGTAGCCACCTCCCTCAGATGCCAACACCTGTCATTCCCATCGTGGCACAAGTCTGGTACTGGTCTCTTAGCACTGCACTTCCCGGCCCTGTGCCTAAGGCAGGCGAAGCCCAAGAGCCAGGCTCAACCACCTCTCAGGCCAAACCCTGGGCCCAGGTAGGACAGGACCAGGCAGGCCTCAGCTGAGAGGGCTGTGTGTCACAAGCTACAGCATTACAGGATGCAGGTGGAACACAGTGAGGGGCTACAGCATTACAGGATGCAGCGGGAACACGGTGAGGGGCTACAGCATTACAGGATGCAGGGGGAACACAGTGAGGGGCTACAGCATTACAGGATGCAGGGGGAACACGGTGAGGGGCTACAGCATTACAGGATGCAGGGGGAACACGGTGAGGGGCTACAGCAT